TAGGTGCTCCTCTGAGAAGATAAAGCCAAATTAAAAATATATAGGTGTAACAGAGAAGTGGTTAAGGGTCTTTCAGAAACAGAAGGTTAACCCTAGGCATGAAAGCCAGGGCATCTCAGTCAGGTGGGACCTCAAGAAAAAGCAGGCACCAAAACCAATGGGAATGCACAACGCCTTCCAAGGACAGAACCATTCATACTTCTCCAAGGCTGAAGGGTATTTTTACCTGGGTACTGTCAGATGTCATCCCATGAGTCATCTGTATAATCTGACTGGATAAAAGCAGGGAGCTGAGGGAGATTGGAGTTCTTCTTTGTAGAGAGGTTCCCTGTTGCTGTCAGAGGCTCTGTCAAGAAATACTGCTCTACTCCGCTGGGAGAGAAGACTATGTCAGGTATTAGTTTTAGGAGGAGCTAGCTCTGTTATTTTCAGTCCAAGGAGGCCAACCAGCCTGGGGGTCTTGCAGGGAGCTGAGTGGTGTGAATCTAGTGAAACTGCTGCTCTCCTACTTCCCTGTTCCTTTCCCTACCCTCATATAGTGTGTGTTGTAGTGTTTTAAGACCCTCCACCCCTATTTTGTCTATGACTTTTAATAAACCTGCTTTGTCCCCAAGCTTGGGTTGTCATGTGCTGAATCCAGTGTCTGTCCCTGGGAGTTTGGGGTTCAGGGAAGCAGGGCTGTAAGAAGGTCCTGCAAGCTGCTGGGAGATGGGAATCCAGGGACAGCTGACCATTACAACAGAGACAGTAGTATTTGTGCAGCAACACTTGCATTAAGGTTATTGCGAGGATTAAAAAATGTAAAACATCTAGTGAAATTATGAAAAACAGTAACAATACTAATAAACATATAAGTTACAATGTGAAGATGTTCTAGAACTGACCTGTTGCTTGTGTCCTTTCTTCAGCATAGATAATTCATCTGCATGAACCCCTAGGTTCACACTGAGCCACAGTGGCTACGAGGCCGCCATGACACAGGGATTCTCTGCATGAGGTATTTACCGTGTGCTCCTGAGCCTTTGGTCATGGAAGTTCATGGAGCCTTTTCACAGTATCAACACTGACCAATAACTGTTCTACATCTTTTAGCTGTTTCTCCCATTTTTTTCTCCAGTGGAGAAAATGTGGTAGTATTTTCACTATTGCTTTGATCTCACCACCGATCTCCAGTGCATTTTTCTCATGGCAGTATGTTCCCACGATTGCTTGAGAGGCGGAATAGTAGGGATGGACTGGTTGTGATGCTGACAATGATGAGGCTTGGTACCACCTTGCTTTGCCATTCTGTTGCCATTGCTCCAAATACCTGCAACAGCCTGTGTCTGTTCTTTTCCTCTCCTCTCTGTTTCTATCTGCATAGCCAATTCCACTGCAGCATCAAATGTGCAGCAACAGGAAATCTTTGATCTGCTGGACACTGGGGACAAAAAGGTGCAGGGAGGTGCGTGCAAGGAAGGGGCTTGGTTAACTCAGAGATCTTTTCCAGCCTCCATGCCCCCATGCCTTCTCTGTGTCTCTTGCAAATGACTTTTGCTCTCTGAAAAAAGGTTGCCCTTTCATGACTTCCCCATTGCCTCCTTTGTCTTCTTGCTCAATAAAAAAAATAGCTGAAATGCATGTCTACTGAGAAGTAAATCAGATTATCTTCAATTCCCTTCCTCACAACTGAATTACATTGATTTCAATAAAGTTAACTAGTGGGGAGAAGACTGCACAAAAGAGAACTATACTTTCTTGCTCATTCCAAATAGGATCTCTCCACGTAAAAGTGGATTTAGATAGGAAGCTGCAGCAGAAAAATGGCATAATATTAATAATTCACCATAGCAATTTTACATAATACACCTCCATCCATATATGAAAGGGAAAGAACAGGGAAATGGGTGAGGAGAGCTATTAAGCTTTCCCAGAATGTCTCATAGGCCACTTCTATCCATGTAGGAATGAGGAGAGCTGGCACAGAATCGTTGTATTGACATGCAGGGCCCGGAGTGTGATGATGCTTGGCTGCACTTTCAAGGCTCAGGCTTACTGTGCTGTAGCCATCCTCAGTGTAGCCCCAGGCTCTTGGGCAGATAGGGTGGGCAGGGGCAAAACCACTGTCAACTGAGATTTTCCTGCCAGTATAAAGTTATGCTATGCTTCCCTGGCAATACATTTGGGAAGCTCCACTCACATGTGAAATGGTTTAACGTGGTACACAGTGTTATGCTGCAGAATGTTTAGTGAGAGCCCCATGTACCATCTGGAAGACAACACAACAGGACAATGCTGGCATAAAATCATTGTGTAAAAAAGCTCTTAGGGTGTTCATATCTGGAGCCATTGCTTATTGTAGGATTTGCTTGACAAATAGGCATGACATCTGAACACAACAAGCCCTGGTCAGGAAAAAAACAAAACAAAACCCTACAGGCCACTTAGTAACAGAGACAAAGGTTTGCTACTCCGACCAAGTGGTTAACTAACAACTACCTTCACCAGCACCATAGAATACCATAGCAGTACTTGGGCCAGCTGGCAAAGGCTTCCTCTCTCCCCACCACAAACATGGGCCTTTTTGGGACTGACTTTTTAAAAAGTGGGGTTTTTTTAATCAGAAAAGCAGGCTGCCAAATCATCTTTCACACTTCCAATGGAGCATCCGTGAGTATGCCTCCAGCAATATCTTGGAAAGGCTGCTTCTTGAACCTACTTTCAAAAATTATGTATGTTCCTTGTATGTTTTTCCAATGAAGTGCACTGCTTGTGCAAATGAAGCAGGTAGGGTTAAAAAACAGGAAACCTTGTGATGACCAGGGTGGGTGGCTCCCAGGCAAAAGCAGCAGTCCCCCTGTGTCTTTAGTGCCTAACACAGGCTGCAGCTAAGTATTTCCTCACTGCCCCTGCTTTGCAAGAATCTGTCAACTTTGACAGATCAGGTTCAGGCAACTCCTTTCAAAGCAAGATTATACTTTGCAAAAAGTATAATCCATTTTTCCGCCTTCACTGAGGAACAATATACTTTTCTGTGAGAGATTAGGCATCTCCATGCTAGGCATTTTCTGAAATTTTGCCACTCCTTGAGCTGATAGCAACTTAGGAGCAATGATGAAACCGAGGGGACATTTGGCACTTCTGGTCATTCCCCCCAAACTCAGGGGATTCTGATGGAAAGGGTTAGGATTAGAACTTAGAACACCCCCTAAGGCACACACATTTTGGTTTCCTCTCTTATTTTTTTGGCAGGGTGGTAGGGAGATTCTTAACCACAATAGGAAATGTGAGGCTGGATGAGGGACACATGAGCACTCTACTTCCCCACTCCAAGGGGAAAAAAAAAGATTCTGCTACTAAGGGTGTTTCCATATTCCTAGCCCCATTTTTAAAGAGCTATCAAAGTGGGTTTTCCAAAGTGCCATAGCGTTGATTTTTGGAGTACACTGGCTGTATTCAAACATAATACTATACCATGCAGTGACCAGACTGCAGAGTATAATACCATGTGTCCTGGGTTCAGAAATTTGCATGGTTTCTATGCATACATGGTTTTCATGCTTCTCCGTCTCCCCTCCCAATGGCAGCATGTAACCCATCAGCCCCTGTGGCTGAAAATCAATCTAGAGTACACTGCTCCTAGCTGAAGCACCTGCCTATCCCATCACCCCACATGCTGCCTCAGGAGTAGCCAGAGCCAGCTGCCTCCCCACATCCATTGCTCAGTGAAGCAACTGTCTACTCACTAGAGTAGCACTATTACACTAGAGAAGCACTACAGAAGCACTCCCTGAGGCTGCCCTGATGCATACCTCCACACACATCCCTCCCCTTCCCATGTGCAGGACTCAGACATGTGTGGGAAGTGGTGCCTCCTCACTACAGTCAGGCATACTGAAGGCAGCATTTCCCAGAAACAGAGGAAACACATCCTGCTGGGCGGTATTTTCTTTGGGTGCCCATCTGCCCAAGGAAGTGTTTGTTTTCTGTTAGGACAGTGTTTGCCCTGCAGGTGGGGGACCGTGGGACTTGTTGAGAGGCCTTAGAAATGCTAGGGACAAGACAGAAGTGGAAGGGAGGGTGGGAGAAAGACACAGGCTTCTCAGCAATTGTTCTGATGCATAACCTGAATGCTCCTCATGTGTAAACCTTCACATGAGACCCATGGCTCCTTGACAAATGCACAGACACTTCTAAACACAACACCAACAAAGGGCAGCAACCAGGCAGGAGTACCAAGAATGGTCCTCTCTGCCATCACTGCTGCTGAATTTCAAAACTGTGGCTGGGCTTCAGGAAAACAGTACATGGAGCAGGGAGTGCAAAGCAGCCAATCAGAGCACAGCAGGCAAGGCAGAACAGGACAGAGGAAAATGAAGGCTGGCATTTCTGCTGCAGCTGCTCTTGCCAACAAATTCTATGACAGAAATGTGGAAACCACATAGAAACAGTATAACTGCAGTCATACCTAACAAGTCATGGTGAAACACAGAAACCTCACAACAAACAATTGTTTTTCCATGCAGTTTCATGGAAACCAAATATACTATATTTCACCATGGATGCTGGCTTAACACATAACAATAAGCCATGCCAGAGTTTCCACTATAGCTTGTCATTATGTGTGAATCTACGCACTTTTTGTGTCTCCCAATAGTGTACATTCCAAAAAGCAGTACTGTAATGCTTTTAAATGGGTTTTTCTTCTCTCACCAACCAGCTATGTAGCTGTTTTCCCCACCTCCCAGTGGGTTGCACTGTCTGGGCTTGGATGTCATGTCAAGCTACCATGGTGCAAACAAAGTCTACAGCAAACCATGGTTTATCAGGGTGACTTCTAAAGCAAACTTAAGCTACCTAATAAAATCATTCTGATTTGGTCAACATGACGCTTAGCCTGCAGGGCAAACCCAATCATTATTTCACAAGGAACACAAAAGTAGATTCTTCTGTAAAGCCTCTGTGACTAGATTTATCCCCAACTTTTCTATCGTGAAGGGAAGTATGTTTCCAGTACTTACTGATCATGGTAGTGCCTCCTGCTAGAGCTGCCTTTGTGCCTTGACAGAAATCATCAATAGCCATCATCCCTTGACAGGGCTTCTGTAGACATGTATTAACATCGATACCTCCAGGAATAAGCATTAGTCCATTAGCCTCAATGGTTTTCACTCCATCAGGAACAATCAAATTTTCTCCTATTTGTCTAATGAAAAGGAAGAAAGTCTAGTTAGTCTTTTGCCTAGAAACATTAACAGCAATCTGTTACATTTAATGAAGAATTAAACATATAACAATCTTTTTAAAGGTACTACACAGTATCTTTAATTCTAATAGATTCTATTGCATTTTTTCAATCTTAGGTATTGAAAATGAAGTTTTAGGTATGGTATCTTATGGGTTAGTGCTGTTTTAGTCAATGGTGGGCAACCTGCCTATACATTTCTTGGAAGATGTGCAATAAATAGTAAGGGTTCTTGAAAACCAATTCTTTAACAGTATCAACAATTAAAGCCACTCCTACCACACAAATACATGCATGCAAGTTAAGCAAGTGAAACAAAACTAGAGCAGGGGAAAATCAGGAGTGGATTTGTGTGTCGAGGGCCTGTGTGTTCACATCCACTAAAAACAAATTTCTAGCCAGAGCATGTACTCAGAGGCACCTGTCCCTTAATTCTAATCTCTGTTGCCTTGAGTCACAATTTTGCAGCTGGTTCCAATTTCTGGACCTAAGGATACTAATAAAAGCAGAAGCAACACCTCTTGTAAGCCTACCATCCACCCACTTCTGGGTTAAATTTTCCTCTTCTATCTATTTAGCACTCCTATAAACTATTAAGATTATGTTTGTTTGTCTATCTCTTTGTCATGAACATTTCCAAAGCAAATGTACACACTTATTATCTAATGGCAAGGTAGCCAATAAACCCTGGAATCATGTGGAAATTGCGGTACTTGGGAAGCTATTTAGATGAAGCAGCAACTGCACATGGGTGATATGACTACAAATTTTAATTATGCCAGTTAATTGCTAGGACAACTGGATTACATTTGGTTCACTCATTTCCCTTATATGAAAACTTTCCCAATTAATGCTTTGATGTTGTGTGGGAAAACAAGGAAAAATTGAGGCAAACATGAGAAAGCTTCAGGGGATGAATTTGGAGAACGTATTCTCTCCTCCAAAAAAAATCTTCTATTCTCCCCCCCACTCCAGGCTTCACATCTCTATCTTTAACATGGGCCTCTAACCATATGGTTTTGAGTCTCAATAGCTACTATATACCTGATTAATATAATAACTTGCCAAATGTTGCAGCTACTATGTGATTAAGTGAAAGGTTTGTTTCATAGGAGGGGATCTCACATGGTGCTGAGGGGACAAAGATGCTCAGGGCATGAGGAAGCTAAGCCAGGTAGATCAATAGAAGGTGGTAGGCTGAACAGGATAAACACAGGAGAAAAGGAACATACATTTGAAGAAAGAAGGGACCCCCTCCCCTCCAAAAAATGAAGAGGAAACCTTCTAGAGTCCTCAAAGGAGACTTTATGCTATTATGCAAAAAAGTGATAATAGGTCAGGCAGGGTGTTAATCCTCAATCTAAGAAAAAGGCCTAGATTTCAGGTGGCACAAACTGCAATCCTTAGGCAAGAGTATCTTCAATTGGACAAGGTAAAAATTACTTCTGAGTAAAAATGTAAAGAATTGTGCTGTGAAGGAAGAAAAGCAGAGTATTGCTTAGCAAATATTCATCCATAGTTACCCAGCTTGTATTGATAACAGCTATATTTCATTGATAAGTTTTCTATGCATTATAGTTTCCAAAGTGAATTAACATTTATTTCTCCTAATGGAACAAGAAGGTAAGGAAATCATGTACATACAGGACCAGAGCAAGTTCCTCTACTGCAACAAACAGTGGTTGTCAGAATTTATCTAGACATTACACATGTCAGCATGTGTTCAAATACAATGGCTTCTTTGAATGATGCAAAGCAGCTATGTGTGTGTATAGTAAGTAAGCCAGGCAAGTGGAATGTTGACCATGGCAGAGTAATAGGAACAGATGCTAGGGAAAATTGAAAGTGGGAGAGAGATTTTTTTTAAGTACTTGGGCAGAGTGCAAAGAGAAATCTGGTAGTTTTTGGAAGACAAATTTTAATGACTGACAAATTTTAGCTAAATTTTAGCAAAAACGAGCTGACTGGATCAGTAAGGAACAAACAATTGTAAAGAGCAGACAAGATGCCTGCTTCATTAAAGACATTCAACAGTTAGAAATGGAAGAGCAAAGACAATGACTGGCTTCATACAACTGCTTCCAACAATGAGTTGTTCTGTCATGTGAACTTAAACTGCTTTTTGTGCCAAAAATGTGGAGAAGGAACACAGACATATGTCCCAGTTCAAAACTATCCACTTTGCAGTTAAAGCCACCTTTTTAAATGCACCCAGAGTTTTGACATCCTACAAGCTAGGCTCCAGCAGTATGTGGACTGAGAACTACCCAGAAGTATGGGCAGGATTTCAAAGAGGGAGAGGAACTAGAGATCAAATTGCCAACGTATGCTGGATCATGGAGAAAGCTAGGGAGTTCCAGAAAAAGATCTACTTCTGCTTCATTGACTATGCTAAAGCCTTTGTGTGGATCACAAAAAAATTGTGGCAAGTTCTTAAAGATATGGGAGTACCAGACCATCTTATTTATCTCTAGAGAAACCTATATGCGGGTCAAGAAGCAACAGTGAGAACTGGGCACGGAACCACTGATTGGTTCAAAATTGAGAAAGGAGTTTGGCAAGGCTGTATACTGTCACCCTGCCTATTTAACTTATATGCAGAGCACATCATGAGGAAGGCGGGGCTAGATGAATCACCAGTTGGAATTAAGATTGCCGGGAGAAATGCAGATGATACCACTCTAATGGCAGAAAGTGAAGGGGAACTTAGGAGCCTCTTGATGTGGGTGAAGGAGGAGAGTGCAAAAGTTGATTTGAAAGTCAAAGAAAACTAAGATCATGGCATCCAGTCCTCTCACTTCCTGGCAAATAAATGGGGAAGAAATGGAGGTAGTGACAGATTTTATTTTCCTGGGCTCCAAGATCACCGCAGATGGGGACTGTAGCCAAGAAATTAAAGGATACCTGCTCCAGGGGAGGACAGTTATGGCAAATCTAGACAGCACACTAAAAAGCAGAGACATCACCCTGCTATCAAAAGTGCGTATAGTCAAGGCTATGGTTTTCCCACTTGCAATATATGGCTGTGAAAGTTGGACCATAAGGAAGGCTGAGCACCAAAGAACTGAGGCCTTTGAATTGTGGTACTGGAGAAGACTCCTGTGAGTCCCTTGGACCCCAAGGCAATCAAACCAGTCAGTCCTAGAGGAGATCAACCCTGACTGCTCTTTAGAAGGCCAGATACTAAAGATGAAACTCAAATACTTTGTCCACCTAATGAGAAGGAAGGACTCCCTGGAGAAGACCCTAATGCTGGGAACAATAGACGGCAAAAGAAGACGGGGACGGCAGAGAATGAGGTGGCTTGATGGAGTCACTGAAGCAGTTGGTGTGAGCTTAAGTGGACTCTGGGAGATGGTGGAGGACAGGAAGGCCTGGAGGAATGTTGTCCATGGGGTTGCGATGGGTTGGACATGACTTCGCAACTAACAACAACAACAAGAAAAAGGGACAGGTACATTTCTGCAGGGGGACATGATATCCTTTTATAAGCACCTCAAAGGCTGTCACAAAGAGGAAAGTCAAGATCTCTCCTTGCTGATGCCAGGGTGTAGGACATGGAATAATCAATTCAAGTTGCAACAACCCAGATTCAGGCTGGTCATCAGGAAAAGCTTCCTCACTGTCAGAGCAAAACAACAGTGGAACCAGCTGTCTAGAGACTAGAGAGGTGGTGGGCTCTTCCACACTAGAACATTAAAAAAAAAACCTGGACAGTCATCTGAGTGGGATGGTGTAAACTGGTGTCCTCCAACAGAAGGGGGATGGACTCAATGGCCTTCATGGCCCTTTCCAACTCTGCTATTCAATTATTCTATATTTTCCTGAACATCAAGAGGCTCAGGACAAAGTGCAAAATGTGCACCTTGATGGGGACTAAATAGGGGCAGGAGGAGATTAGAATTTTGCTGCAAAGCAGGTAACCACAAACCACATTTTCTTGAGAGCCTTTGGTTTCTCAAGAAAACAGTGGGGGGAAGTGTTTGGAACTTTAGTGTGCAATACCCAGGGTCAGTGGACATTGTCCCAGCTGAGTCTTCAAATTCAAAGAGAAGCACAACTGCAGCTGATTTTTTTTAAAAATGTTTTGCTGAGGCTGCTTGTACCTGTCCAAACGGAGTCATAAAAGTCAGCTTGAAAGTCTCCCCTTAAACAAAGGTTTAATAGGAAAAAGCCATTGTAAGCCTGAAACAACTTGTGGCAAGGGCAGGGAGGTAGAGAACAACTTGTTCCTCTCACAAAAACACTGCAAAGAAGAAAACTGAACTGGAACTGTCCCCATTTCTTCTAATTTATATTAAAGAATCTGCCATCAGGAAGGCAAGCAAAGGCCTTTCTTTCATTTTTGGTAGAAATGTAAAATTAAATATCAGAAATTTGGAGGCATTGGGGACTGGGTGAGTAGCAGTTTTTGTTGTAAACAACGTTTCAACTTTGCAAAATATAAACGTTACGTTCTTTTAGTCTACTTCACAGATCTAAAGTCATTCTGGGAACAATTCAGTGCCCTCTCACTCAATGAACATAAGCTTCCTCTTTTCTGGTGATTTACAAATGGCCACTTGCGCCCAGAGGCATGGGTGACACAGAACCACTGTGTTACATGACAGCATATATAAAACTATACACCAATGAAATAAGTCCTCAATTTAATTCACCTCCACTCGTATTGACAAAAGTGACCAAAAAGCATGCACCATGTAGTTTCCTTGCTTGGAAATACATGCTTGCCTGGCTGGTTTCTACAGTAAATACAGTGGTACCTTGGCTCACGAACTTAATCCATTCCAGGACTCTGGTCATGACCCAAATTGGTCGTGAGCCAAGTCAAATTTCCCCATAAGGTTCAATGTAAATAAGGTTAATCCGTTCTGTAACCTTTTTTTTAATCAGAAAAATGTGAAGCAAAGTGACAAAGAACAACAAAGATCGCAGCCATCTCACCCTCCCCCCCGAGCACAAGCGAAGCCATCTCCCCGCTCCCCCAGCACGACTGAGATCGTGCTCATCATCCCTGCACGTGCCCGTCATCCTGGCGTGCTGGGGGGGGGGAGGAGATGGGCGCAATCATGGGCGCGCTGGGGGAGGGAGACACGGGTATGATCTCGGCCATCTTCCCCTCTCCGCCCCCAGCACGATCGCAGCCATCTCCCCACGGGAGGATATGGCCGAGATCACGTCTGTCTTTCCTGCAGGAGCACACCCATGATCACACATGTCTTCCCTGCATGATTGCAACTGCGATTGTGGCCATCTACCCATTCAGTGGGGTGGGGAGATGGCTGCGATCTTGGTCGCCACCCAATGCGGAGTTTGTGACCCAAGTCAAAATTTTCATGAAATTTTTGTTTGTAATCCGATTTGGTTGTGAACCAAGGTGTTTGTGAGCCGAGGTACCACTGTACTAACTGTAGCCCTATGTCATCTGCTAGCAATCCAGTCATGTGATATCAATAAAGATCAAAATGATAATTTGTAACTTTTACTAGATACAGTTTACCATACAAAGAAAGTTCAGTGTTTTAAAACTAACTTTATAAGTCCATCCTCCAGGTACACATCTGCATAGAAGGAGTGGTCATCATTGATAATTCGTCCACCTGTAATGAGCAGTTGATCCTTCTGAAGGGAGGGTATAGAAATAGTGAAATAAAATAAAAATTACAGTAATTAGATCATACAAGTTACATTGACATTTTAAATAACTAATCCTTGGCAGCAAAAGGCTTAATTTAATCAGAAGGCACAGGGGTTTGTCAAATAAATAGTTACATACAGTTTCACTACTACAGTATTATCATTCTAGCTTGGACTCTCATGGCAAATCTCTATATAGTTAAAAAGGATAAAAATGGGATTTTGGAAGGAAGGCAGGAGAATTGCTTCTTAAGGTCAACATGTTTAAATTGAGCTTAGCAGAAACAAAACTCAGTATTTTTAGCCACCGGATGTCTGTTCACTAATTTGTGTGGGGAAAAATAAAAAGTGATTCTCAACATTATTTCCCATGAAACATAGAAACAGAGCAAGTCAGAAGAGGGCCTCCAGGGCCACCTATTTATTTATTTATTTATTTATTGCAATTCCAAAACTTATAGTGTGTGTTAATTTTGATCATTTGTATTGTAGTACTGGATTTCATTTTCATATGTTCTTAATTTGATTTTATTGTTACTTTAGTTGAGGGATTCTACCTCTTTTGCATTCTAGCTCCAGAATAAGCCAGCAGGCAGGACGTTATCAAGGTGGCAAGACACAAACCTGAAGCCTCAGCTCCTCCCACAACGTTATCCAACTCCACCCAACCCACTGTCTCTTTTTCCTGTCTGTATCTCTCTCCTCCCCCATGAGGAAAAGGAGGAATAGAGCCAGGAACTCACCCAACACTTGTTTAAGAACAATCTCTTGGAAGTGCCATTCAAACTGAGCACTTGGGACTTGCCCATATCCTGCAAGCTCCATCTAAGTCATACATCATCTTCCTGAGTTATACACCAAAATGTCCCAACTGAAGAGGGAAACGGCTGTACTAGTGCATACCATGGGTTCTGATTATGCTTTGTGATATAGCCTGGTTCCGTTATGGTCTAATCTTTAGCAGGGGTTGGGTTGTCAAGTTTTTCAGGAAGGCAAGATAAGAAAAAATTAGCAAGGTGGAAAGTTTGAGGTAGCACTGTGGCTGGAAGTCAAAGAGCATTGGCTGTATATTGCTCCTAACGAGACTTTACCAGCTTCAAGCTGTGATGACATGACAACAGCATGTTAAAAGTCCTCATGGCTGTACTCCTTAGACCCCGAAAATAGTAAGGCAGGCTCATCTGAATGCAGAGAGCTGAAATGTATCTTGGGGACGTGGAAGAGTTATGACCCCTTTCTGTGAACAAGTCCTCTTCCTGAGCTCCTAACTCTGGAGCCTTCTCAGAGAACAAGGGACTCAAATCCTCTGAGGATGAGTGTTTGATGTTTCAGCCATGAAAGGTACTCAATGGAACCTTGCAAGTCTGGTATTTGTCAGCCCCCAACCAAGTCAGGTGTCTCCATTTGGTTCTAGTCTTGTCCAAACTGGGGCACATGTGGTAGGAGAAAGGACTCAGCTGATGCTTGTAGAAGCCAGTCATGCAAGACCAGACCAATTCAGTAAATTTCCAAGTTATCCTGATCAAAATTAACATACTTGGCTGAATGCCCTTCCAGTCATATACAGAGGAATTCCCTTGCTGTTTCCATCTAAAGATCATAAGGGATTATTTTCTTCTACCTCCTCTCAAGTTCTAGGCCCATGTGGGTGCTTGGGCAGAACAGGGGGAAGAGTAGACCCACAGGCAAGTTGTTTAATTTCTCCTGCGTTACTGTGGGAGTTTCCCTGTTTTTTCAGTTTTGGGTAAGCAACAGAGAAAGCATTTTTTCAAGCCCAATAGACTGACATGTAACACATTGTTCAGCTTGGTTGAGCTCACTTTGGCAGGCCTGGGAGCTCCTGACATTTCAAAAAGAAGCAAGCCTACTATCAAAACCAGAATGGTCTACCAAATGGTTATCCAATGTGGTGCTCATGGGCACGAAGGTACCCCTATAACCCATCTTGCTGTCTGCCAAGGAGTCTTGCTTCATTAAAACAAAATAAAGCAACTTACTGACAACAAGCATTGCTACGAAATAGATTTCTGTTGGTAATGAAAACATTAGGTACAAATGAATGCTTAGTGTGTTGCAGAGAAGACCCTATCATTACATTATCTTTGGGGCAAATTTCTTGTCCTTTACTATGCCTCTAATGGCATAGTACTTGTGGTGGTGTCCAGGACACTTTTTTTCTAATTGCTAAATGTGCCCATGGCTCAAAAAGGTTGCCCACTCAGTCCACTGTGCAGATTATTTTTGTGCAACCACAAAGAAACTCAGTAGGACTTTTAAGGATGTGTTATTTTGGACTGTACAGAAAGGAGTTTGCAACCTCCACTTACCACACAAAAACTCTAACTTTCCCTTATCATCAATCTCTCTAGCAAAAAGCCACAGGTGGCCCAAGAGGTTGGTAGTGAAGTACAGAGTTTTTAAAAAAGATAGTCATCATATTTCAGAAAATCCAGAATAAGTCATTTATTAATATCAAGGCTCAAATTTGTTAATAGCATTGGAACATTGGTTCCATTTTTAATGCACTGGCATGCTTGTTTTTTAAAGCTTTACTGTGAGAGTCTACTACTTGAACCCTTAGCACCTCTTATCTCCCAACACCATCTTTAATTCACTTTATGGTATGGCAAGCACTTCACATTCTCAAGGTGCTTTATTGTCTTTAAAGGCTGCTGAAGCACTGCTGCTCAGCCCTGGCTGCCTGGTTTTAAAGAGCTTTATCAGACGACAGACACTGCTATCCTGTGCCAATAACAGCATGCTCCATTCGTCTGCCTATCTGACAACAGACAGAACCCAGCCCCTTCTCTGCCCGAAACAAAGAGCTGCCGCCCACCCCCCCTAAGAGCCTTCCTCGGATTCATTTATTTCCATTCCAAGCTATCGTTTGTTCAAAACACAGAACATAGATTCATCAACTAGGCGAGTGGCTTGCAACTCTGCCTCACAGCTAGCTAGTCAGCCAACCAGCCACTTAGTTTTGCTGCTCCTTATGAGGCACTTGTCCATCAAGATCACCGGCTTGTTATTCTTATCTAACCCTCTTGCTTCCTCCACCCGCATCGTGCCTGGCTAGGCCTCCAGCAGCGACTCCCTCCAGCTGCTGCTCACCGTGATGGGCAGGATGCGCTGCTTGCCCTGGTACCCAGCCATGCCGGCTGCAGAATGGGGAGTGCCCGGCGGCGGCGGCGGCGGCGGCAACAAAGCTGCAGCGCACTCAGGTCCTTGCCGAGGATTCTTGGGGGTGGGGACCGGAGTCCGCTGATCTGTATGTGACCCTCTTCCTGTGGTGTGCTGGATCAAGGACGCGGCTTCCCCTCTATCTGGACTAGGTAAAAGGGCGGCCTCTGTCTAGAAACGGCAGCAGCAGCTGCAACAGCAAGGACCCCATTTGCTCATCGAGTACAACCCAGGAAGCGTTTCCTTGGCTCCCGCCTCCCCAACTCAGGTCTCCAGTACTGACGCGCCGGAAAAATGCTGTTCCTTTTTATGCTTCACCCCCACCAAAGCGAACAGAATACTTGCCCTAACAACAAAAAGTCCAGTTTTGTTATTTCACTTCTCCCCTTACAATATCATTCCTAGCCATTAAGACATAGGCAATTTCTTTATTTTCCCTATTGCAGACGAGTAAGAAAATGGCAGGTCTAATGCTAATACTAATACACACACACACAAAGAGGTAGGTGCAATTGGCTGTGCAGAGCGAAGAAGAAAGGCAACTGCTCAAATTCACAAATATGACTATAGATAATCAACAGTTAGTTGTACATACATAAAAGATGACATGCCAGAAGGCATGGTGTGCATTCTCATCTTAATATTATCTCTGATATAAAAGCCTGTAAGACCTGGATGACCCAACAAGGAAATGGGAAATCAGCACACATGCTGGGCATGTATTTACCAGTTTTAGACTTAAAATGAAGGAGGTCTGTCCTCCTTCACAGTTACTTCACAGGATTATTAAAGCAGCCACTCCATCCTCTGAGCTATCCTTTTGCATCACTGGACAATCCCAGAAGTTCTTGATTTGCTAACTTTATGGGGCCACATAACCAGACATTTGTTTTCTTCCCAAATGGCATCATGTCTTCTAGTTTGTCACAGGTCCAGACTAGGATTTTGCCAAGCATCATAAAGAACAGGGAAAAGTACACATTCACCTTTCAACATAGTCTTCAAGAGACTTGTTCTCGGGTACAGAACCCAGTTAAATTGGACACAGACTTTTGTTAGATCATTTTCTGATCATGGCATCTTAAAATGCAATAGCAACAGTAAGGGTCTTTTTAAGTGGACATAGAGATGAGGGCAACCAGAAAGAAATGGGGTACAATATGTTGAGGTTGGAAAAGGAACAAAAACTGCTTTAATGCAGGAATGCTGAACTTGAGACCTAGGAAGGAAATGTGATCCCCTGAGAATTCCAATACAGCCTTCTAAAATTTCCCAAATGGCTATGCCACCCTCCATGTTTGCTCACTCCTGATCATTTTGTGGTTTCCCAGCAGTTTTCCCCTATTCTAAAAGGCAGGAAAGTCTCTCTTACACATTAATTACCAGTAAGAGTTTTAAACTAAATGTAGAAGGGCTTGTAGTTTTTTTTTTGGCCCTGCCCCTTTTGCCTTTGATCCCACCCATCACTGGAATCCAGCAGCAAGAGCTTCTCCATTAAAGTATTTAGTCCACAGATTAAAAGAGGCTCAACCTCTAATTTCAGCACTCTGCAAATACTTGAAAGGTTGTCATAAAGTGAAAGGCCAGGATCTCTTCTTTACCATCCCAGAGTGCAGGACACAGAATAATGGGCTCAAGTTACAGGAAGCCATGGTCCAGCTGAACATCAGGAAGAACTTCCTGACTGTTAAAACAGTAGGACAATGGAAAAATTACCTAGAGAAGTTGTGGGCTCTCCCACACTGCATCTATTGAAGAGGCAACTCAACAGCCATCTGAGAGGGATGGTTTAACCTGGAGTCCTGGACTTGGCAGGGGGTTGAACCCGCTGACCTTCTTGGCTTCTTCCAACTCTGTTCTTCTATGATTCTGTACTCCCTGCTTTAGTGGAACTAGAACTTTTATAGAACATGCATTCTATATACTTTTCACACTGTTGTGACAACAGTGGGAAAAGTGAAATCTGTATTAAATGCAAGTGACTAGAGTAACCATGCTATGCCTTGTAGTCACAACTAAAAGCCAGTGGAGAACTACAACATTATGATTTTCCCATGCAGTACTACACCCAGCAATTACCAATATTTCTATCGAGTGAGGGTTTATAAGAGGGGAAAGAACACTCTACTATGTCAGCAGAATCTTAAAATGGAGTTCCATGAAATTTCTAACTTACTAAGAACTATCACAGAAATTACCAATTTGCCAATATTTCATGCACAATAATTTAGTAATAATAATAGTTCATCTTTTCCATTACTTCATTTTAATAACATTGGGACACCCCTTAAATTGTCTCCACATTCTGGTTACCCTTTGCAGTAAGCCATTTTTATTATTTACATCATTTGGTTTGTTTCCAAACTGCACCAGGAATTTTGGCAGGGGTGGGGAGGTCAGCAAATCATCAGGACTGATCCTGATAGTAGATTGGTGCATGCAGTAAAGCTTGTCAAATGTAGCAGTCACAACACAGAAGTAACTTCTAATAGCTTCTACTTGGTGACCTTTTTCCATGAAGTGGTCCTTGGCTCTGGTATAATTTATACATTATAGAAAATACAGCTGTCTTTATAACAAACCCATTGTGAGGAGATGCATGTTGAACAATCCTGTTTCACTGCTTGCCATTTGTTTTCAATCATACACTCCTCTACAGCAGTCACTACAGTAGGCAAACAGGGACAGGATTGCTAGATGCACACTTGATCTTGCACAAGCAAATATGAGTAAAACCCCCAATATTTTGCAGAAGTCTGCTTAACATGAAGAGGGTAGGAGACTGAGGGTGTCCATGTGAGGACATAGCAGCAGGGCCAGCCCATGTTGACCCTGTATTTCTTACTTATCTACATATTCAGGTATAATACATTCTTTATTGTCTCATACACAGTTATATCTAAAGATCATTACCTGTATGGAGCTGCCCTGTGACTCCTACACTGGAAGTTGTATCTTCACATGGTGAGGAGACAGACATCTTGACTGTGTGGGGACTGGAGCATTGTGTGTGGCAATAGATAAAGCAAACCAACAACCAGTTGGTCTAGGATCCTAGACTCCATCTTTCCTCTGTTAGTTTAGCAAACAGGTATGCTTAAGTTCCAACCGGGTAGTGGGAGCAATGAAAAAGGTATTTTTTCCTGAATATAAGGTTCCATATCACCATGGAACTGGAACATATCCAAGATTCAAGAACAATCATTTTTGATTGATCTTTAAAATGGTTTGGTTTTCTGAAAGTATAGAAAGCAATTCCAATACTGGTGTGGTGGTTGGTTAAGAGCATGGGACTCAGGCGATCTGGGTTCTAGTCCCCGCTTGGCCATGGAGCCAACTGGGTGACTTTGGGCCAGTCACAGACTCTCAGCCCAACCTACCTCACAGGGTTGCTGTTGTGGGGATAAGATGGAGGAGGAGAATGATGTAAGCTGCCTTGAGCCCTTTGTAGGAAAAAGGCAGGATATAAATTGGAAAAAAAATACTAAACACTGGCCCACAACATGCTGCTATGGTTCTTTGGCCTTTCCTTCTTCAATTATCATTGCAGCCTTACAAGCATCAGCAGGTCAAGAATGACTAACAAGCTGAACTGTTGAGCAAGAATACATTGCCACTTATTTAAGTGGTTTGCACACAATTTTAAGTTCTGATGAGAAGTTTCAGTACTGGTCAAGTTCTTCAAAAAACACTTAATATTAAACTACTTTAAGGCATTTTATTGGGGGATAATTATTAGTATCTAAATATATACAAATGTCCGAGATGAAGCATTTCTCAAAACAAACACACAGCTTGGGACTACAATATCTCACAGAATACCACTCCCAACCTTCATGTACCTGGACACCATGATCAAGTTCTAGGACCTTCCTCCAATTGCTTCCTCTGAAACTCAGATGGTGGCAACAAGGAAAAGGACCTTTCAGTGGTGCACAACCCTCCCTTATGGAACGAGCTCCACACTGAGGCCCACCTATCTTTTCAGAGCCAGGTGAAGACTGTCATCTACTACAGGGCAGTTAATTACTGGGGCCTGCTAGCTGTTAAAGGTAAAGGTAAAGGTTTCCCCTTGACATTAAGTCCAGTCATGTCTGACTCTAGGGGTCCGTGTTCATCTCTGTTTCCTAGCCAAGAGAGCCACTGTTTGTCTGCAGACAGTCTCCGTGGTCATGTGGCCAGCATGACTAAACACTGAAGTGCAAGGAACGCTGTTACCTTCCCACCAAAGTGGTACCTTTTTATCTACTTGCATTTGCAAGCTTTCGAACTGCAAGGTTGGCAGGAGCTGGGACGGAGCAACGGGAACTCACCCCGTTGTGCAGATTCGAACCAGTGACCTTTCGATCAACCAGCCCAGCAGCACAGCAATTTAAACCACTGCGCCACCTGCATCACTTGCTAGCTGTCAGACAGGGTTTAATAGTGTTTTCTCAACTTAGTATATTTTGTTTTAAGTTAGGTTTCAATTTTTGTATTGTTAACTTTTATGATGCTTTAATATGTTTTAATGGTGTGTGTGTGTAATGTCCATTTTATTGTTTAATGTGACTTGTTTGTTTTGAAACAGCACAATGGTATCTGGAGAACTGGAAACCACTTCAGGTTTTTCTATATATTCTCCCTGCAATGGCTTGCCTGGGGCTACTCTACCATACTATTGGAACCAGGTTAAGGCAAGGTCTCTTTGTGGAGGCCTTTAAAGATCTCCCTAGTAATCTGGGGGCCTTTTTTCCTTTCTTCTTGGATGGGGCATTTTTCATTTAAGGGATTTAATGGATTTTCATTTAATTGCATTTAATGAACTTAATGCTATTTTAGCTAATTTAAAATGCTTTAGATTTTTTTTTCCTGTATTGTATTCTTTTGCTTTTATCTCCTGTTGTGAACCGCCCAGACAGCTTCAGCTGCAGGTGGTAGAGAAATGTAATAAATGAAATGAAATAAATAATGTGCTGTTTTGAACTGTGCAGAAAGCTTTGGCTTGTTGGGGAGTATAGTAATTAATTTATTAAAATAATGATAGTTTCTTGCAACTTGAATTCTATTATAGTTAAAAATGATTGTTCACTCCACAAAGGTTATAGCAACTAGCCAGCCAAGCTGTGTTTCATAATCAACTCACTAATTGCTTACCTCAAGCCTAATTTTACAGAGTTCTAGTGTTGCTTCAGTGACTCCAAAGAGAAATTAGAGAACTGCTTACTTCTTCTGAAAGAAAGGTCAGATGAAACAGAGGAAAACCATGCTTGCTCCTTCATGAGCTCAGCAAAGTTAGAACTACATAAAAAGTATTTTAGAAGGGACCCCTCAACAAGATTTGCAACATTTGGGCTGCTATCCAAACTAATTTGAGCAATGAATTAAAAGAGTTAATATGTATGCACAGCAGAGTGCAAGGAGAAGGGTTACTGATGTAGGCAGACATAGGAAATTAAACTGATATAGCAGGCCACAAAAGATATGCTTTTCAGCCTCATGGCATTCATATTCAGACCATCTGCACATAAAACCACCTTCTTGGTACCATTGTATTGCATCAGATACATTTAATAACTCTAAGGTTTATGTGTGATGATGGTGTCCTTCCAGACACAGTGGCAAGGGAAGGGATGTCAGCCAGACTTGTCAAGTTTCACTGGGGACATAATTACATTTTACAGTGTAAAAAGTAATATTAGCTGACAGACAAGTCAGATTGATGAAAGAGGGTTGGCTGGACAGTTCCATTCCTTTTGGCATTCTCTCATTCTCTCCCCCCCCCCCTTTTCTTCCAGCACCGAAGTCAGGGGCTGTGGTGGAGTAAATACTTCATCCCATAGAACATTGAAAACCAAATAATTTTCTTTCTGGGTTTCAATTTGTGGTTATACTACAAATTGTAGCATGTGGGGAATTCATTTTTAGATAAACTGTAAATCATATAATATTATTGCACTAACAATGCATATTGAAACTCAAATACTTTGGCCACCTAATGAGAAGGAAGGACTCACTGGAGAAAACCCAATTGATGGCAAAAGAAGTAGGGGATGGCAGAGGATGAGGTGGCTAGATGGAGTCACTGCAGCAGTCGGTGTGAGCTTAGGTGGACTCCAGGGGATGGTGGAGGGGTACGGGAGCCTGCAGGAATGTGGTCCATGGGGTCCCGATGGGTCGGGCACGACTTTGCGAATAACATAAGAATGCATAATTATTTGGGGTTGTTACGGGGTTCGGCTCAGCTCCTGCCAGATGCTACTGCCATGCCTCCCGCAAGAATTCTCTCCCATTTTGCTGACAAGAAAGCCGCAGTGAGCCCTGCAGCAGAATGGATGGTGAAAGCATAGGATGCAGGCGAGCGAGGAGGCGGGACTGACTACTCTTCTCCGGGCCATTCTGGAGAAGCGGCCATTCCTTTTCCCCCCATATCTCAGCCCACCAGCCAAGCGCCTCACCTTTCTATTGTCTGGGCGCTGGAGCAGCTCCCTCCCGAGAGGGCACCGGATCTCCACACCAGGAGCCTTGTAGTCTCTCTCAACACTGGGCGAACTGATTGCGGAGCCGGAGATCTCACTGACGTCGCTAGCCGTTTCGCTGCAGTTGTCTCCACCGGCGTCGTCAAGCATGTCGTGGCGGCTGCCGCTGCGCGGGGTGCGGGAGCCTTTCTTACCTACGCTATAAGCATCGAAATCGATTGTCTTGTTCTCATAGGCGCCTTCCACTGAAGCAAACATACCACCGTATTTTTGCCGAGGCGTCTGTGCAGTCGTACCTGGCCGGGCCAAGTAGACGGGTAGATCGTTTTCCATGTTCCAGGTGCTTCTGCTCTCGGCCATCCTGTTTCGGTCTCTTCTCTACTGGGTTCCGCAGCTGCCTCTAATGGGAACCATGCAAATAAATAGGAAAGACGTGGGTGAAGTCGAAGACTGCAGCACCTGGCTGGAAGGGCCTTCGTTCCTTCCTGGATTTTCCAAACTCCCACGTGCCTCCCCTCCCCTTCGGAGGACAAAAACAAGCTCGTTGGCTGGGGACCCGTGAGGTAAAATAGGCAGGGAGGAGGCAGCAGGGAGGAGACTGGAAAAGCCTTGAACGAATGCGAAGAGCTTCGGCGGCAGTAGCAGGGATCGCAGTGCAACAGCAAGACCGCTCCGGAGGCAGAATGTCAAACGCATTCAGCACGCTATGCTGTAAAAGGGAGCCTCTTCCGGCTGATCGCGCAGCTGGAGGCCTGATTTCAGACTCCTCGGGCGCTCTGAAGGAGAGGCTGGCAGTAAAGTGAGAGAGTGCCCCCAGGATCAGATAATGGCCTTATGGGGGCGGGGCGACGGTCTATTTCTAAAGAAGGGGACGCACTGAACATTTCAGGCGGCCTAATGGCTACTTTAGCTTGATGTCTTGGGGGTCCAAGTACAACCAAAACAGCTGACTGGAACCAAGAAGGCCAAGACTGGAATAGCTACTACAGACTTCCCCTCCGGATGTGTTTTATTTATGATGGGAGGTGTGGCCTAACATGCCTTTAATATAGGGAAGGATGAGGCTACTGTATTCTAGATTGTACAAACCTATTCATGCCAGTGAGGCTGAGCAAGAAAGAGCAGGCAGGCAGTTCTAGCTGAATCAACTTGTTTTCTCCAGGAAAACAAATAAGGAAAAGTGAGCCTGATGTGTTATCCACACCTTTTCCCTTTCCAAAATTGAAATTGCTTGCAAGATGTCAGCTTACAAAATAGTTTTAAAATACCACCCCCCCCCCCACACACACACAAAAGCCATTAAAGCACATTTACAAAAGGGGGGGAAACAGCCTCAGAGACAAATTAGTAATGTTAGCAGAACATATGAAATATGTATGAAACACTACTACAGAACAACTTTTCTCACCCATTTCCACCAGCCTCTTGCATGTTGCCACTAGCTATGTCTAACAGCAGTAGCACAAACAAGCTGTTCTTAAACAATGGGTTATTGAGCTGTTCTTAAACAAATAGGGCATCAACACAAAAGTTATTGTGTGTTTCAAAAGAGCAGTGGAACTGCAACAGTTAAATGTGGTACAGGAGCTTGAAGAAGAACAGCAAGCTGAGAAAGGAGAATCCTGAGGTAAGGGAAAATGAGGAGAAAATCCCTGGGAAAGGGTGAGAGGTAGCAGCAGAAAAATCAGAAGACACTCTGCACCAGTGCAAGGAGATTAACATCCAGTTACTTGGAGATGAGATTGGAGGGCAGCTTACAGTGGAAGAACTACAAGTTATCTTATGGAACATTGATCAAGAGGCTGAAATTCAACCAAGTAGTGGCAATGATACCAATGCCTGAAAGAATAAGAGAATGTTAGTTGTTGGTGATTCCCTGATGTGTGGATGAAAAGCACATGTTGGACATGTCAAGTATTCTGTCTTCCTAGAGGATATATTAGTGACATAACTGAAGGATTACCAAGCTCATAGAATAGTAGAGTTGGAAGGCGTCATGAAGGCCATCAGGTACAACCCCCTGCCATTGCAGGACACCAATTTACACCATCCTACTAAGATGGCTTATCCAGTTAATCCTTGAATGTCTCTAGTGTGGGAGAGTCTGCAAGCCTTGACAATACAACATGCACATGATAGGCATGTCATGAGTGGAGCCAGCTGGAGTTAGGGTCAGATTAGATGGCCCAAGAGGCCCCTTCTGACTCACTCTGTTTCTCTGTTTCTAGTTACACTGTCATATTGCTCTGACAGTGAAGAAACTTTTCCTGCTATCTAACCTGAATCTGGGTTGCCACAACTTGAGTTGATTATTCTGTGTCCTGTACACTGGTATCAGCGAGAAGAGATCTTGACCTCCTTCTTTGTGACAGCCTTTGAGGTACTTATGGAGGGATATCATGGCACCCCTCAGTCTTCTCAAAGCTAAACATACCCAGTACTCCCAGTCTCTCCTCAGAGGACAGTCTTTCCAAACCCTGCATCATTTTTGTTGCTCTCTTCTGGGCCCCTTCTAATTTTTCTGCAACTTTCTTAAATCTTGGTGTCCAGAACTGGACATGGTATTCCAGATGAGGTCTGACTATGTATCCCAGCATATACAGGGAAATTGAAGTCTGCCATCATGACTACATCATTCTTCTTGGAAACTCAGGCAAGTTGCTTTTCAAAGGTTGAGTCCTTGTCCTCTTTTTAAGTGGGTGTTCAGTAATAACTGTAATTTCCTTATTTTTTGCTCCCCTCAAATTAAACCAGATGCTTTCATTGGAGCTACTGAGTTCCTCTTCTTGTATTTCTGTGTCTCACATATAGTGCAACTGCACCTCTATTTTTGTCCTTTCTATTTTTCTAGATAGGTTGCATCCATCAATTATTTGCTGTCCTGAGATGTTTGTATAGGATGGAATAGAAATGCCCCAAATAAAGCAAGCAAGCAAGCATTCCAGTCATGTGAGTTGTCCCACCAAGTTTCAGTTATTCCTATAAGATTGTAGTTTCGCTTGTGTACACAAGGACATGTTGTTCATTTTCCATACTCCAGGCAATGGTGTATAGACATCAGAGTTCATTCTTGTTGTGCTCTGGTTTTCTTCCTACATTTTTGGGGAGACTGATGTTAAGCCCTGCTTGAGTTTTTTTCTCTGTTGAAGTACATAAGTGTCAGGTGATGGTATGCCATGCTGCACATCTCCCTACCCTTTATGTTTCAGTTTAAATCCCTCCTGATGAACTTTTTCATGTAATGGCCAAACACATGCTTTCCATACTTTGTCAGGTACAGCCCATCACTTGCCAGCAGTCTGTCTTTCAGAAACCTTAGCTTGTGGTCCCAAAATCCAAGTCTCTCTTTATAGCACCAACATCATAACCAGCCATTCTCTTGAACGATATTTCTTTCCCTATCTGTCCCTCTTCCATGTACTGGTAAGATTCTGGAGAAAACTATCTGGGCATTGGTGCTTTTCATATTCTTCCCTGGAACTTCAAAATGTGATGTTATTTCAGCAGAGATTCTCCTGGCAGTGTCATTAGTTCCCACTTGGATGAGAAGGAAGGGGTATTTGTCAGTGGGTTTTATGAGATGTGTGAACTTATTGCTTATATCTTTTGTCTTGGCCCAGGGAGACCGCATGCTTGGGGATTCTCTGGGTTGGCACAACATACATATTTTTCCACCTTGCGCAACAAGGAATTTCCCACAACTATCACTCTTCTCCTTTTGTTGTTGCAAACTTTGCTATCTTTTTCCTTACTATTGTTTCTTTACCTCTGAAAAAGAAGTGTGTCAAAGGTTTTCAGAATTCCAAGGAAGGGATATATAAGATCCAAGTCTGCTTACAAGGAACATTGAACAATTGAGTAACTTATAATACATGTGTGTGCACAATAACAGTAATCAATCAGTGATGGTCCCATCAGGTGGTACAAACAGAGAAGCCTGCTGGTTCAAGAAGTCCAAGCAAGGCCTTGAGGTAATTAGTATTCTATGATTCCATGAGTAGGCAGAGTTGGAAGGAGTCATGAAGGCCATCCAGTCCAACTCCCTGCTGTTGCAGGACACCAACTTACACCACCCCACTCAGATGGCTATCCGGTTTCACCTTGAATGTCTCTAGTGTGGGAGAGCCCATCACGTCTCTAGGCAACTGGTTCCACTATCATATTGCTCTGACAGTGAGGAAACTTGCAGTTGGATAGCTGGTTACTTGAAGGAAGAATAAGGAGCTTACAGGGAAGCAAAATGTATTATTCAAGCCCACACATTTTAAAGGGACTGAAAATATCTTTCTTTAATTCAATACTCTTGGAAGTTCAGAAAAAAGAGAATTATTATTCTATCTACTGACAAATTTTCCAATTGTTTTAAATCATCAAGTACTTTTTAAAGAGCTTCCTTTTGTATCCTATTAACTGTACTGTGTATAATAGAATTTCTATTTGTCATTAAACTCTTCAATTGGTCTTCTAGTTACATAATTAGTGAATTTTGCCATCTCTGCATACTCTGCCAATTTATTTTTCCACTCTTCAATAGTTAGGAATTCTGGTGTTTTCCTTTTAAAGGCAATTGTAATTCTTGCTGCAGTTGTCATATATTTTAATAACTCTGACATACATACATTTATTTATTTATTTATTATTAAAAGCTTTTCCATCCCGTCCCCTACAGAATGTCTTGGAACGGCTTAAAATAAAGACGTATTCTTTGAAACAGTCTCTGGTATTATATTCAAAAGCATATTCTTAGGACTCATAGGTAAATTAGTTTTAAAATTTTGTATTTCCTCATGTATCAATTTCCAAACTCTTTTAATTGTTTCACAAGTCTACCACATATGGTAGAAAGTTTCATCTACCCTGTTACATTTCCAACATTTTTCATTATAGTTTTTATCTATTTTTTCTATCTTTTGGAGTAATATACCACTGATAAAACATCTTATACCAATTTTCTTAGTGCTTGACTAGCAGTGAATTTAATGTCTTTCTTCCACGAAGCTTCCCGTTGACAAGTTAATATTTCTTCTCCAAGATTTTGCTTCCAAATTGTTATACATTTCTTGTCTTGTTTAGTCATACTATAGTAACTGTATGTAAAGTCTTCCTAAAATGATTGTTCTGTTGTGTAATCAACTTTTCAAAATCTGTCAAACCTCTTAAATTACCTTTGTCCAAGTGTATTTCCCTTTTCAGTCTTGAAACCAGTTGGTGATAAACAAACCATTGTATAATTTTTCCTTCATCTGTTAGTTGTTGCGAAGATATGATTTGTCCTTGTTGGTCAATCATATCCCTATAAATTATAAAATCATTATTTTTTCCTTAAGTATTTCCGTATGCTTCAACCAGGGAGAGATTGGATGACTAATTTTTTCTCATGAAATACCAAATTTTTATTGGG